TTTTTTTTTTTTTAGTGCAGCCTGGACTTATTCCTTCAGTACCTTCGGTTCATGATCATATGCTACCTCCTGAAATGGTTGAATGTTGACCAACTCTTTTTGGTACAGTGACTCTGTGTATTCCTTCCATCTTCTCTTGATGCTTCCTACATCATTCAGTATATTCCCCATAGAATCTTTCAGTATTGCACCTTGAGCCTTAAATGTTTTCTTTAGTTCTTTCAGCTTGAGAAATGCCAAGCTTCTTCCCTTTTGGTTTTCTATCTCCAAGGCTTGGCACATTTCATTATAATGCTTAACTTTATCTTGTCAAGTTGCCCTTTGAAATCTTTTCTTCAGCTCTTTAATGTCATCATTTCTTCCATTTGCTTTAGCTACTCTGCATTCAAGAGCAAGTTTCAGAGCCTCTTCTGACCTTTATTTTAGCCTTTCTTGCCTGTCTTTTTAATGACCTTTTGCTTTCTTCATATATGACATCCTTGATGTCATCCAACAACTTGTCTGGTCTTTGGTCATGTGTGTACAATAGATAGTCTATTCTTGAGATTGTTTCCAAATTCATTTGGGACATATACAACGTCATCTTTTGGCTCTCATGGACTTAATTCAATTTTCTTCAACTTCAGCTTGAATCTGCACATAAGCAGTTGGTGGTCTGTTCTACAGTCATCCTCTGGCCTTGTTCTGATTGATATTGAGCTTCTCCATTATCTTTCCACAAAAATAATTAATTTTATTCCTGTGTCTTCCATCAGCCAGGTCATGTAAAGTCACTATTTATGTTGTTTAAAAAGGTATTTCCCATGAATAGCTCCTTGGTCTTGCAAAATTCTACCATGGGAGCTCCAGCATGGAAAACATTTCACATTCCAATCACCAGTAATTATCAATGCATCTTGACTGCACGTTTGATTAATTCCAGACTGCAGGAGTTGGTTATTCAATTTTTTCATCTTTGGCATTAGTGGTTGGTGTGTAAATTTGAGTAAGTCATATTAACTGATCTTCCTTGTAGGCGCATGGATATTATCCTGTCACTGATCACTGACAGTATTGTATGTACTTCAGAACAGCTCTTAAAATGTTCTTTTTGATGCATTTGATGTCATTCTCTTCAATTTGTCATTCCCAGCACAGTAGACCATATGGTTATGAGATTCAAAATGGCCAATATCGGTCCATGTCAGCTCACTAACGCATAGGATATGTCTTCAAGCTTTCCATTTATTTTTTGACAACTTCCAATCTTCCTTCATTGATACTTCATACATTCCACATTCCGATTATTAATGGATGTTTGCTACATTTTTTTTTTTTTTTTAGTTGTGCCATATCAGCTAATGAAGGTTTCAAAAACTTAACTCCATGCACATCAATAAAGTCAACTCTACTTTGGAGGTGGTATTTTGAGTGGCTTCCAACCTGAGGGGCTCACCTTCCAGCACTGTATCAGACAGTGTTCTGCTGCTATTGATACAGTTTTCACTGGCCAGTTTTTTTAGAAGTAGGTCACCAGGTCTTTCTTCCTAATCTTAGTCTGGAAGCTCTGCTGAAATTTGTCCACCATGGGGGATCCTGCTGGTACGTGAAATAACAATGGTATAGCTTCCAGCCTTACAGCCACACACAAGCCACCACAGTAGGACAAACTGTCAGGCAATGGGCCCCATTAAAGTATCTAAACAAGTCAACAGACAGCTCTGGGGGATACAGCCATGCTGCTGATAGATCCTTGCTCTCCAAGGGCCCCAAGTCTCTTGAAGGTGACAATAGTGAAACAGATGGGGTCACTGGAGGTCAAATGCAAGGCTGGAGTCCAGCACTGCCTTCTGGGGAAGGAGACTTCCTTGTCCAGGGTACAGGTTTCCTCAGCAGTAGAATAAACAGGGTTATGAAGGACTAGCACTAATAATTAACAGCTACTAAAGGAAGGTCGCGAGCTCTGACAGCATAGTGCCTAAGGCACTTGACTGCTAACCAGAAGGCTGGCGGTTCAAATCCACCAACCACTCCTCGGAAGGAAGGTTGGGCAGTCTACTTCCGTAGTAATACTGCCTCAGCAACCCAAGGAGGGGTCGCTATGAGTCGGGTAAGACTGATGGCACGTAACAACAACAAAGGATGGTCCAGGAGCCCTGGTGAGTGAACAGTTAAGCTAACCAGTTGGAATTCACCAGCCACTGTGACTGAAAAGATAATCTGCTGCCTTAAAGGTTACAGCCTATGGGGCAGTTCTACTCTGTTCTATGGAGGAGACTCAACCACACACAACAGAAGGGCCTCGCCCATTATTGGAGGTCAATAAACACTGGCGGATTAAGAAACTGAATGTAGTACTAGGTTGGCAGCGCTAGCGCTGAGGGCTGCGGCAAGTTGAGGTAGAGAGGTTCATGTCCTTGCTGGACTCCAGCCCTGCATCGGACCCCGTGACCCTCTCTGCAGGCGCTGGGGCCGTGGAAACCCGGAGCCGCCATAGTTCATACCCGGCGGAGTCTGACGAGGAAGAAGGTACGGAGGAGCCCAGCCCCTTTCGGGGCCGTTCGCTCTCGGCGCCCCCCAACCTCTGGGCTGCACAGCGATATGGCCGCGAGCTCCGCAGGATGAGCGACGAGTTCGAGGGCTCTTTCAAGGTAAGCGCCGGGTCCCGGGGGCGGGGACCTGTATTCCCACAGCCTCTCTCACCGCCCGGTCCCTTTCCGAGTCCCAGGGCATGCTGGGACCCGTAGTCCTCTTTTCGTTCCCGCCCCCCCGTCTCATGGCATGTCGGGATCTGTAGTCCACCCCCCCCCCCACACACACACACCCCCTCACCCCCTTTCTCCGGGCGGCCAAAGCCCCCTGACCCCTTTTGGTCAGAGCTCCAGGGAGAACGAGGCATGGTGGGATCTGTGCTCCTGGCCATCCTTTTAGGTTTTCCGGCCCCTTTGGCCCCAACTTCGAGGCCACTTTTTAATACTGCGGCCCCATCTTCCTGATGCAGATCTCCAGCTCTGGAGCTGCCATAGAAGGTCCCAAACGTCCCCGCCTCCGCCCCGCCCCCGGCACGGAGTTTCTGGAAACTGTAGTACTAGTATCATTTCCTAGGAGCTCTTGAGTCTAAGGCACTTGAGTGCTAACCAGAAGGCTGGCGGTTCAAACCCACCAACCACTCCTCAGAAAGAAGGTTGGGCAATCTACTTCCGTAGTTATACCGCCTGGGCAACCCAAGGAGGGGTTGCTATGAGTCAGGTCCGATTCGAGGACACATAACAACAACAAAACATCATTTCCTAAGGACCAAGCGTTTCTGCACTCCCGACCACTCAGTACAGGGCGTGCTGGGAATCTGAGGGCTCTTAAGTTCTTCCCCCAGGGAGGTCATGCACAGGTCGGGTTCTGGAAGCTGGAGGGGCCTGGCTCCAGCCGCCCAGAGGCCTAACTTTTTTCACCCTTGCCTTCTCCGAAGGGACTTCCTCGACCGAAGAGCGCGGGCACAGCGACGCAGATGCAACCAAGCCCCAGCTGGACACGCCTTATCCAGTCCTGGTGGGATCGGAACTTGGGGAGAGGTGGCTCCGCCCCCTCCCAATGACTTTCGGTCCCACCTTCCCGAAACCCCACGGGCGGCCATTTTGGGTGTGGGCGGAAGTCTTCCGCAGGCCTTGCGCCGAAAGGATCCGTTCGGCCCCGTTAGGAGGGAGCCGAAGCCCGATTCCCTTCCGGTGCGAGCCCAGACCACGGAGGGTTCGCCCCATGGGAACTTGGAGTGGCTGATCCCGCCCACCGGCTCTTGGTGCCCTCCAGGCGCCTGCGCCAAGTTGGGAGCTGGGATTAACCAGTACTGCGCCAGAACCCTTTACTTCCGGGCTAGTTTTACGCTGCGGGCTGATGCTCTCGACTCCTTGTGCGAATAAAGCCCGCGTCTGTGCCCCCGAGTTCCCTTTGTCTCTGTTGCTTGTGGCTTTGAGGGCAGGGTTAGTGCTAACACCGATAGCGTTCCAAAAGACACTCTGCTTAACATGTGGGAGGCGCAGGCTCTTTTTGAACGGCCTGTCAGGGAGGCCCGAAATGGGGCCGGCCGAGCCAGGGCTCCATAACCGCAGGGACGGAGCGTGGCCGGGCCCCAGTGACCTCCAGGTCCTTATCTCTAATATGGTAATTGGGAACCGCAGCCCGGCTGGCCGCCGGAATTCCGCGCTCTGCAATCCGTGCCGCGGCCCCCCAGGGAGGGTCATTTGTTCCTATTTGGGTCACTCCTTGTGAGCAGCTACTGTGGCGGGCGCGGGGCCAGCGCTGCTCAGGGAACAGCAGGACGCGCGGGGGCAGGGAGGGCGGAAGGCTCGGCCAGGCTGCCAGTGGTCACATGGAAGCCAGAGTGGAGCTACAAGAGAACTCGGGACCAGAGCTCCGAACGCAATTCCAGGATTTATTGGCGCCCCCTATAGACCAAGCCGGTGCTTTGTACTGGTACACACAGATGCCGCCACAGCCCCTTCTGGTGCTTCCTGCCAAGAGGAGGGCCAGCTGCGCACCCCGACAGGGGTCCACAACCAGGGTGAGGTCGGCTCCCTCCAGCAAGGCAGTCAGAGAGGGCTTCAGGGAGGAGGTGTGTTAGAGCTGAGGCTTCAAGGTAGAGACAAGGAAGGTGGGGGGGGGGCAACAGCAGGGACTGGGCTGCTGAGGGTTTGAGTGTCACACCCAGACTTTAGCCTGGTCTTTTGAGGCCCTGGCACTGGAGATCAGGTAGTGTTTCTGTAAATGGAGGTTGAGAAGAATCCAGGAAGATGGGTGTGGGCTGCTGAGGACCACAGCCACCAGAAGAGAGGAGAGGGGACCAGTTTGGGGCTGGAACAAGGCCTGAAGGCAGAGGCAGGGAGGGCCGGGCAGTGATGCTGACCCTGAGAAGGGCCCAGGGCAGAGTGTCCCCAGCCTCAGCAAGTCCCCACTCAGTTTCTCTGGCCTTCCCACCCCATGTGTTTGTCTGAGGCGACAGCAAAAACAAAGCAAAGCAAACACTCCATTGGCAGGAGATAAGCCCAGATAAGAGGCCACTCTCCTCTGGAGGAGGGAGGCCTCACACCAGGAAGCTGGGAGAGGCCTTGAAGGAGGGCCAGCCTGACCCTCCCGCAGAGCCTGGCCGCAGCCGCACCCTCGCTGCCGGTCTCTGCCACTCCACGCTGTTCATCCTCCAGGCTGACCGCAGACTGTCCACCATGGAGCAGCCAGGCCCACCCTGAGCCTCCAGGTCAGGACGTCTTGACTTAGCCGTGGCCTGGACACATGACTTCTGCCCTGGGCCTCAGTTTCCTTACCTGTAAAAGAGGCATAACATCCCCCTCACAGGGGTGAGGAGGGTGCTGGGTCCCCAAGCCCCAGGAGGGCACTGTCAGGCCCCTTCCCACTTAGAGCTGCAAGCCCACGTCCCCTGGTGCCGGATGGGTTCTGAGGTGCTCACCACCACCCTTAGCCATTCCATCCCCCTTACAGAGAAGCAGCCTGTGTGGGGCCTGGCACAACCCTGGTGGAAGCAGCCTGGCACTTGGGCGCATCAGGCAACAGGAAGGTGGGGGCACGGAAAGCTTCCTCAGTGGAGGCCCAGGGACGGGGCAGGAGGGAGGAGGTCATGGGGTTGAGCTGAAAACAGGAGTGGGATGGGGGGCAGGGAAGGCTTGAAGGAGGCCAGACAGCCTAGGATGTGAGGGGGGACAACCATAGGAAGATTTTATGGATCCCAGGCCACACTTACATCCATCAACCCTTGCTGAGGGCCTGACCTCAGCCCCACCAAACGCCTGCCAGCCCATTTTACAGATGAGGAAACCACGGCCTCAAAAGGAAGCAGCAGAGCCAGACCTAGAGCCGAGTCCTCTCCAGCACTGACCCACCCCAAACCACGCTGCACACGGGGTCCCTGAAATCCACCTTTATTTACATTAATTAAAAAAAAAAAAAAAAAAGTATAGAGAAAGTGGCCCCTACGTCCCAGAGCTCAAAGGCCCCCTCGAAGACTCCCTGGGGAGGTGAGGGAGACGGCTCCCACTCTGGCTGTGAGTGTGGGCAAGGAGTGAGACCCCCACCCAGACCCCTCTGGCTGGAGTGGCCTAGCACCTTTCTCTGGCCTTAGGGCAAGGAGGCGGGGCCCGGCACTGCTGGGGACCAGGAGCACGAAGAGGGGGAGTTGGTGTGGGGTACTTGCCCCAGGTTTTAAAAAAATAAAATTTCTAAAGATAAAGTTAAAAATAAAAAAGCATTAGTGTCTTAGTCTCCTCTGTCTCCCCTCCCAGTAACCGCCCTGGCCCTGGGGCCACCTCTTGCTCAGCCAGCTCAGAGCTTCGTATTCTCCTCCTGGTTATCCACGTTAGCGCTGGACGGATGGCTGCCGCTCCCGGGTGCGTGCCCATTGCTGGCACAGGCCACCAGGTGCCCGTCCCCCAGCTCCTCGGCTGTCTTGCCCAGCAGGCTCCAGCGGATCTCCTGGGGCAGCCTTGCCCGCTGCTCTTGACATTCCTGGGCCACCTGGCCCAGCAGCTGTGGGAGACTGTGTCACTGGCAAGGCTGGGCCACCCAGCATGCCACCCGCCTGCCCCACGGCCTCACCTTGATCCCCTCTTCCACCAGCTGCTGTAGGACCTGTTGTTGCCCAGCCACCAAGCATTCATGCCGTTGCTTCTGAGCCTCCTCCAGCTGCAGGGTAGGCAAGGGCTCAGCAGAGGGCCCCGGGCTCAAGCTGGGCACAGAGGTCAGGCAAGCCAAGGATGCCAGGGCTGTGGGGTCGGGATTCTGAGATGGCCTTCGCAGTAAACACACCAGGCCTGATGCCAAAGCCACAGGTGTTGCAGTTGACTTTGGACATGATGTGGGACAAAAGAGGGCCGTGGGCCCGGGGGGAAACACTCTACAAAAGGGCTCGTAGGGTAGCCACTGAGTCTGATCCGCCGTGGCACCAGGCCAGGCACTGAGGAGGCGGCTTAGGGTTAGGGATGGCTGAAGGAAGAGGGGTGGGACGGGTGGCATGTGAGCCTCACCCACCCGGCGGATGGAGTTGACCGACTCCGTGATGTGTCGCCGGTTAATCTCCGTCAGTTCCCTACAGAGGAACAAGGCAGGATGGGCTCGGCGCCCAGACCCCAGCCCTGCCTCCCGGCACCGCAGGGGCTCCCAGCCCTGAACCCTTACGCCTCCTTCTTGTATTTCTCCCTCGTCTTGGCTTCCGAGATGCTGTTGTGGCGCTTCCGGTCCAGGATCTTCTGCAGTTCCTTCTTCTCTCTGGAGAAGCCGGTTGAGACAGGGAAGGTCAAAGGGAGTAAGCCGGGCCCTGCCCTGCTCCTGGTGCCAGGGAGCCCCGCCCCACCCCGCAAGCTCCCCACCCTCACCTCTCATTCAGCTCCTTCAGCCTCTTGAGTTGAGTCGTGTGTGTGTCCAGGACGACCTCCCTGAGCCGTTGCTGAGCCTGTGGACCCGGGACCAAGAGATGACACAAGGCCACTGACCGATGGGTACCAGGGCGGGACTGCTCGGGCCGCCACCCGCCCCGCACCTGCTTCAGGTGTTCCAGCTTCCGCTCATACTCCGTGTTGAACTGGGCCTCCCTCAGTTCCAGCAGACTCTGTATCTGCCTCTCCTCGAACTCCTGGTACCTTTTCAGTACCTCGACTCCCTCGTCATCCTCTCCAGCAGTCCCCCCTCTGTGAAAGAGCCCCACTTAGTGATGGTTGGGTCTCCCACACAGACCATCTTGGGGGGGTGGCATAGGGCAGCCAGTAATGACAGACACCAGCCCCACAGGGTCTGATAATTAAGAGCGTCCTTCAGATCCCCTGAGTGGCAGGAAACATCTGCTGTTTGTGGGGAGTCTCAAAAGAGGGGTCAGTCCTTGGGGGCCCCCCCTCTCTGGGAGCCACCTAAGAAGCTCTGGTGGCATAGTACCTAAGGCATCTGACTGCTAACCAGAAGGCTGGCGGTTCAAACCCACCAACGACTCACCACTCCACGGAAGGAAGACTGGGCAACCTACTTCCATAGAGATACCAACCACCTCGGACACCCAAAGGGGGTCGCTATGAGTGGAATCCACCCGATGGCAATGAGTTTGGTTTGGTTTGGTTTGGGAAGCCACCTGGTGTAGAGGTCCCCTGGCGCAGACCCCATGCACGCGCACACCTCCGTTCCCGCAGGCACACACGCACTCGGGCGGGCGGGGCACTCACAGGCGGCGCCGGCCCTCGGGCCGGGCCTGGGCCAAGCTGTTCAGCGAGCGGCGGGAGTAGGCCAGCAACTTCCGCTGGTGCTTCTTGAGCAGCTCCCGCAGGTCGCGCTCCTGCCGGCTGCGCAGCTTCACCAGCGCCTTGTGGCCTCGGAGCTCCTCCAGCGGGGTCGGGGCCACCTCTGCGAGCACACAGCCAGAGCACACCGCGAGGAGCCGCCTTGACGGAGGAAGCCCCGCCTCCTCCTGTAGCCCCACCCACAAGCCCCGCCCCCTACCTGAGAGGATGCTGGTGATGAGATCATCCCGCTGGCCTGGACAGCAAAGACAGGGCTGTGAGGGCTCAGGGGAGCCCCTCTCCTCAGCACCCGCCAAGCCCAGGCTGCCCCTTACCTGGGCTGCTGAGGGAAGGGCTGGTGGGGGAGGTGACGGGGCCTGGGGGCCGGCGCGGGGAGGGTGTGTCCAGCGAGCTGGGTGTGGTGTCCGGGGACAGCTGGGCTCCTAGCTGCTGACACTGGAGCTCTTGGCTTGTCTCAGGGCCAGCCTGGGCCTGTGGGGGAAGACAAAATGACTGTTTTCCCAGGCCCTTGTGTCCTGGGCCCTGGGCTGCCACCCCAAGCCCGTCTAGCTGCTGGACGTCTGTAACAGGGGCTGTCGGCCAGCTACGTGAGACGTGCTGGTGGCTGTCGCTTGCCTGTGAGTCGACACTGAACCATGGAGGTCCCACAAGACTATAAAACAAACGTTTCTAAACCCTTATCCACACAAAGTGTGGGAAAGCTCACGGAAGATCGCCTAAAGGGTGCCAGGCCTGTTGTGTGCACAGGGACCTCCAGATTATTCTGGAAGCTCTGCCCAGCCCGGTTTCCTCCCTTCTCTCTGCCCCTCCACCCTCGTCCACAGTTGCTCATCCTCCTCACGGCTCAGCTCCTGATTAAATCAACAAAGGAAGTGATCGCAGAGTGGGCACCAGACGCTCCCGCTAACCACTCCAGTCAGCCCTAATTGCAGCCATCCCCTCCCCTGCCAGCCACAGGCCCCCGGGGACTGGGGCTCCATATGCGGGTGAGTTTCTGCTCCTGCCCTCTCTCCACAGAAGCCACTGCCCCCCTTGGGGCTCCCAGGACCCCCTCCTTCTAAAAGCTCCTGTGGCTTCAAACTGCCCTTGTGAAGCAGCTAGAGTCCTGCACCTCAGCTTCGACCCCGCTCAGAGCTGGAGATATTCCAGCCTGGGCCTGGCCCAAGGGTCTGCTGCAGCTAAGAGGGGTGGTTTCCACCTCACTCCTTCAAATGTGGAGATCAACCCACGGAGGCTGCGCCTTGGGTGAGAGGGAGAAGGAAGGCCTGGCCAGGCTGAGAGAACTGTGCAAAGTGACTCAGTGTCCCTACCTCTAACCTGGGGACAGCAGCACCAAACTTACAGGTGGCTGGAAGGGTTACATGAGCCAAGGAGGTGGAGGACCTTACACAGGGCCTGGCAGGGAGCTGGCACGCAGCATTCCTGGGGTTTATTTTCTGGGTTGGGTGACACAGAAGAATCCAGAAAGCAGCCAGGCTCTCCAGGCAATGGGAAGGGGACAGTGTGGGTACATGTGTGGCAGTTGGAACTGGCAGATGAAGGCATCAAACAGCCTAGCACAAGAAGAGGCAGACCACCAAGCTGGGAGTAGGGTGGGACTGGGAAGCTATGGAGCAAAGAGGAGGCTATAGGGCCCTTTCCCACCGGGTGAGGCACGAGGCCCACGCAGCTGACCAGGCCCACAGGTTGGCCTCACCACCCCACTCATACCCATAGCAGTCACCTGCCTCAGGCATCATCAGGGCCTCCCACTTCCCATGGCTCCCCTGTGGCCTCCCAGGCCCCGCCCACCAAGCTCAGGCCCCACCCCGGCTCACCTCACTCTCCCCAATGAGAGCAGCCAGCTGCTTGGCCCTTTGGTCCATCAGGCTGACATGCTTGATGGGGTTGATCAGGGCCTCAGCGTAGTCTACGGGAGGAGGAGGATCACAGAGACGGCACCCCCTGTACCACACCTGCCTTGCCAGCTCAGCACGGGTCATCCCTGCCGCTACGTCCATTTACCATCCCGAACTGGGGCCACCTGGCTCAGCCACTCCCAGCGCCCCTGCCCTGTCCCACCCCAGCTCACCCTGGTGGTCATCGGGGATGTAGTCAGAGGCCTCAGTGTAGACAAGCAGGGCCGGCAGGCACAGCGGCTGGTTGGCCTCGTTCCTCAGGCAGACATAGTGGTACCCTGAGGGAGAGGTGGCCGTGGTCAGCCAGGCCTGGCGAGGCCCCACACCCACTGCCCCCTACCCACCGCTGCCCAACCCCGTCACGGCCTCACCTGAGCGGATGGCGGAGACAGGCAGGATCCGGTGGCCCACGAATTTGCCACCTTCCTCAAAGGCCGCAATGCGGAGTGAAGCCAGCGTGGGCAGCACCACCTACAGCCACACAAGTGCTCGTACCCGGCCACCACAGCCCAAGCCGGTGACCACAGCCCGAGGCCAGATCACCAAGCAGATCCTCAGACTACTGACCTAATGACCGACCTCGAGGCTCCATGGCCATGGAGCAAGGGCTGACTCAGCACGGCCATGGCCTGGCCCGGCAGATGGCCAACGATCATCAGAGCATTGACTGAAGAGAACAGACCGACAGATCCCTCCTGGCACCGCCTGCCTCCCTCCTGCCCCAGGCATGGCAGCAGGTCTTAGGACGGCCACGTGAGCTTGGATGGGTCAAGGCTACCCCCACCTCTGCTTGGAAACAGAGGCCCAGGCCATTTGGGACCACGGATGGCGGTAGAGGGCATGGGCTTGGGATCGTGACTGCCCTTCTGCCTCAGACAGGTGGTGCCCTGAGGCCGTGAGACCTCAGGGTGGAACTCCCCTCTCGGTCTCCCCATCCCATCATCTTCTCTCATCCTGCAGAGAACACAGGGAGCCTGAACCCAACCCCGGCTGTGCAGGGCCTGGGATAGAGCCTAAGTGTGTCTAGACGTCCCTAGGCAGCCCTGACGCCTGACTACAGCACTATGCCTGGCTCCAGTCCCCACAGCCGAGTCCGGGCAGATCCACCTGCCGAGGGCAGGAGCAGGGCCAGGCTCACCTTGGGGAAGTCGAAGGGCTCCTCATCCCACACGGGGTTGAACGAGTTCCCCTGCGAGGTCCGCGTGCGGTACTTGCGCCGTGTGTCCACGGGCAGGCCAAACATGTCCACCTCCACGTAGATGCCCACCTTCCTGTCAGACAGGAACTGCCCCGAGATCACCTGGGGGACAGGTGAGCCAAGGAGGGTGAAGCGGCTGCTGGGATTCCTGCTCCCCAGGACACCCGACCCCACCCCCCGGCCCCACCTTGACTCTCAAGGCGTTGGCCACGATGCCATCCACGATGACCTCGGTGAAAGGGTCAAAGGACTTGTCTGGCCGCCGCATGAACTCGGGCTTGAGCAGGTAGCCACTACGTCCATTGTATTCAAACACGCCTGCGTTGAGCTGCATTGGCACATCTGGGGTGACAGGGAAGGCAAGGGTCGGCAGATCAGAGGAGTCAAGTGGGGCGGTGTCGTGCAGGTAACACCAGGGATCATTAGGGATGAGATGAAGTCCAGGGCTGGGGGGCATCAAAGGGCATCAGCGTCCCGATTCCAGAAAGATCAGACAAGGTGAAGGTTCTAGAGTCAGCTAGGGTCAGGAGCTGGGGTTAACCGAGGGCTGGGGAAACAACAGCAGGGTCATGGGTCAAGTCAGTGGGGCTAGGGGTCAGGGGTCAGGGGCCAGGGTAGGCGCACTTACCCAGGGTCTGGAAGTTGAGTGCCACAAGCTGGCAGCCCACGTTCCAGAAGAGCTGGGGCATGTAGTTGGATGAGTCCACGCGGGTGCCCTTGGGGTAGATCCGGCTGAGCTGCTGTTTGTTGTATCTGAGGTAAGCAGTCAGGGACCACATCCCGGGGCTGCAGGCTGCCCCCCGCCGGCCTCCGCCTCCTACTTTGAGCCCGGGATTCGAGGCCCGTCCCCTGCTCCTAGGAGGCTCTACCTACCAGCCCTCACCCCCGCTGTCCCTTTCACCTCTCTCCGGGGTTAGCCCCTGATAGTCTCTCGGGGTCCCTTCAGCCCACACAGAAGGTCCAACCTCCAGACCAGGGTGCTGGAGGGCCAGGGGATGAAGGTGGCATCCGCGGGCATCAGAACAGCCTAGCCCCGATGTCCCCACCCTAGCCCCCCAGCCTGCAGCAACCTAGGAGGATACTCCACAAACTCCATGGGACTTTTTGTCAGTTGCTCCAGGCCCTTGGTCTCCACAAAGGATGACATCTCAAAGCACTTATTCCTCTCTGCAGGGAGGACACACATGGGTGGGAGGGAGGGTCAAGCCCCACAGGGGCCAGGCAGGACCAGCTCCCGCCCCCAGGGCCTCCCACCCCACTCACTCCGAGCAGCCTCAAAGGACTTGAACTTGACAGGCTCGATGTAGTTGACCAACGTTGACATTTCCTCAGTGGCATTGGCCTCACTGCTGGCAGTGCCCTGTGGCCCCAAACCCGCGGTCAACAGTATCATGATCCTAGCCATCAGCTGGAACTTCCCCCCCACGTACCCCACCCACTGAAGCCCGAGTCCTGAGACCTGATCTCACTCCACCCTGATCATCACCTCCTCCACGTTGGTGTCAGACTCATTCCGCCTCAGGTCCCCCCCAGCCCTACCCTCTTGTCAGGCTGTCTGGGCCACACCCCATCCCTCCACTGCCTGTTGATATTCTCACCAAGGAGCCAACCCCTCCAGGCCTCCAATCCAGTCTCTTTGGCCCTGCCTGCCCCGGCAACCTTCTCCCCAGGGGCGTCACATCCTGGCTTGCTCCCACCTGCCTGATGGAGGCTGGACGTCCTCACCTAAGCCCTGAGTTTAATGGCATGCTTATGAATGAACCCAAACGTCCATCTCAACCAGTAACCCCACCTCCACCTTGCTATCTCCTCCCAGGCAGCAAATAAGAACCTTGACCTCAACACATCAAGCGCTGACCTCCAGCTGCCCTTTACTCATTCCGGGTCCCTCTCAAATCCGACTTCATCCAAACGTGACCACTTCTCAATGCCAGATGCTCTCAGCTCTTCTCAGGGCTCCTCCTGGACGCACTCCAGGGCTCCACACCCTCATATTGCATAGCCCACTCCCCACCAGCCTGCCACAGGGCCTTTGCACATGCTGTTCCCACCTTCTTGACTCTGCCACCCAGCCTTCCTGCCCAGGTCAGACAGCCTAACTCTGCACCCACACTCATCTCTCCCCTGGCCCGTGTCATGAACATGTGCTCCCTGCCACCCATCCACTCTGACCTCTAGGAGCACCTGCTCACACCACACCCTGCACCCGGCACCGTGCCTGGCACACAGCACATGCTCAGTAAACGCTTAGAAACACATGCCAGCTGCCCCTGCCTTCCTGCCCATGGGCCTGACCTCATCTGTGGTCGGCTTTTTGGGGTCTGTCTGCTCCTCCTCTTCCTCATCTTCCTCCTCATAATCACGGTCAGCAGGCCCAAAAGTGTCAGGACCCCGGCGCAGGCCCTCCTCACCCAGAGACTTCTGAGGCTCCAAGCTGGGCTTCTCAGGCCCTGCCTCCTCCCCATTGCTCAGGCCTGGACAGCTGTCAGAGCTGGGAGACCCTGCAGAGGAAGGGGCCACAGGGAGTCCGGGGTCAGAGCCACATACAGATGCTCAGAAAGCCGGGCGGCAGGTGTCCCAGTGTGCAGAGGTGACACAGTGGGGAATTCGAGGGGTGCCATTTGGGAGAGGCCAGAAGTCAAGGGTCAGACGGTGTTCAAAAGGGTCACAGGTCAGGGTCTGGGGTTGTATATCCAGCGGGGGAGTAGGCAGGGCAAGTCAGAGGGGTGAGAAGTCAGGAATGGGAATGAAGAACATAGGGTTACAGGTCAGGGGTCACACCCTAGACGAGGTTCCGTGAGGTGAGCAGTGAGAGGTCAGAGGCCACCATACATAGTTGGGTATAGGAGGGACCTCAGTGAGGTGACAGGCCAAAGGCTGGCTAAAGTTAGAGCCAGCTGAGTGTAGTCTCAGCAGAGGGTCACAGAGCAGGGGTCAGGGGTCTGAGGACGACAGTCAAACCATGCGGATTTGTTTCCCTGAGGTCAGAGGTCAGAATCGTCACTTGGCTGGAAGGGAGGCTGCTGTAAGGTGACAGACTGAGGTTGAGGGGTCAGGAGTTGAAAGGCCAAATCCTCTGGGCCATAGCTCTGAGGTGAGCGTCTGGGTGCAGAGGCTGGAGGTCCCTTCCCAGCTGAGGGGTGGTTAAGTAGCTCAGTGAGGAGAAAGGTCAGCAGTTGGGAGCTGACAGAGTGTCCCCAGGGAGGGCCGGGCTTAGTGAAGCGGGCAGTTGAGATCAGGAGTCTGATGTGGGATGGTGGGGATGGTGCTACGCCTGGGGGGTGGGTATCTGAGGTGAGAGACCAGGGCAGAAGTTCAAGCCCGAGCCGTACCAAGCTGGGGCGAGGAGGGCTCCGTGGCAGCCGAGCTCTCGCTCAGCACCGAGTTGCTCTGTTCCAGCGGCCGCTTACGCACAGAGCTGTCAGGGACGCCGGTGCTGGGCCGGTGACGCTTCTTGTTCTTCACCAGGATGCGGCCCATCAGGTCCTGGGGACTGGGCAGGGGGACACCTGGGGCCAGCTGGGCGGGCACTGACAAGTCAGGGCTACTGAGGTGCCCCTCACGCCCTCCCGCCCGCCCCGCCGCGGTTCCAAGCCCACGTACCGGGTACTTGTCCAGCGGGTCAATGAGCAGCGCGTCCCCAAAGATGGAGCGGCAGTACTCAGCCATCTTGGCCTGCTGCTTCGCCCTGTGGGGCCCAGGTCAGAGGTCAGAGGCCCACAGGGTCAATTCCCAAGGTCAGAGGTCACAAGGAAGTCCCACCGTCCCCTGGTGGGAGGATGGCACTGGCCCACCGGTCCCCAGGTCAGAGGCCTGCATGTCAGAACTGCTGAGGACAGACATCTTGGGCATGGAGTTCCCAGGCCAGAGCCCACTCACGAGTCCACATGGTTCTCAAAGGAGAGGATGACGGGGTATGGAGAGGTCTTGAAGGCGGTTTCGGCGATGGCCTCGAGCACGTCGCGCAGCGGCACCTCCGTGGTCATGGTGAAGCCGTGCGTGATGAAGGGCTCCTCCTCGGGCGGCCGGCCCTTCCACACGTCCAGCTCCACGCAGCGGCACCCCCACAGCAACGCCTGTCGGTACATCTCCACCGACGAGGTCCCGGCCAGCTGCCCCGCTGCGGATGAGGCTTTGTCACCATGCCGCCTGGCCCCTCACACACCAGGTTCCACTCCACCCTCCCCAGCGCCGAACCAGCCCATGCTGGGGACACAGAGGCCCCCTGTGGCAACCCTGTCCCTGTCATCAGCACCCTAAAACCAAACCGAGCCAGCTGTTGAGTCGCTGTCAACTGAAGGTGACCCCACGTGTTGCAGAACAGACTGCTCCTAGCCTTGAACTCCACAGAGTTTTCAAGGCCGTGACCTCTCAGAAGCCGCTCACTAGGCCTGCCTTCTGAGGCACCTCTGGGTGAGTTCAGACCCCCAACTTTTGGTTAGCAGTCGAGAGCTTAACCGTTTACAACACCCAGGAACTCCCACTAGCATCTCTGTCATTTCTTAATTACTTACTAAGAACCCACTTCCCTAAAACTCTCACGGCAGGGCCCATGCCCACTCACCCGCCCCTGGTGCCCACTCCGAGCTGGGCACAGAGTAACTGTCCACCAGAGCTTGCTGACAGGCATGTTCCCTCCAGGGTTCACCCTCCCACAGGTAAACATCCTCCCCCCACCCATCCCACCAGCCTGCACCCTGGCAGGATGCCCCACAGCCCCACTGCGTGCAGCGCTCACAATCCCTCACGTCTCTCCACCCCCTCTACCACCTCTGCCCAAGAGCGACTTCCATCCCTCCTGCCTCGGGGACCCACAGACCTCTCCCTGCCTCCAATCCAATCTCCACACAGCACATGGCGTCCTCCTTCTAAAAACATACCAGGTCACATCACCTCCCCCCGGGCCCCGCTCACCACCATCTAAAGCCTCTCCCTCCCCCTCAGGATACAGCCACGTTCCTGTGTGGCCCCTGGTCTGGCCCGGCTGAGCCACCCAGCCCCCTGGCCCTCTGTGCCTGCCCCCAGCCCAGGCCTGCACCCCGCCTCGCCAGGCAGTCACCTGCTTCAGGCCTCCCTACAGCCATTCCTCCCTCTGCAGTCACAGAGCTGTCTAAGGGCCCAGCCCTTCCCCACGGAGGCCCTTCCTGACCACCCATAAAACAGGACGCTCCCATGCAGAATCTCTGTGCTCAGGTCGAGCTCTCCACTCCCAGCCTACAATCCCAGCACTGGCTGATGAACGTGCAGTGCAGAGGCCAGAGGTCAGAGGTCAGGGCTGGCCAAGTGCAGCCCGCTCGCGTGCTCACCGGTGAGATAGGTGTTATGTGAGGAGTTGATGAAGTAGGAACTCAAGGGCTGGGTCATGTCCATGCTCAGGTCCAGGGCCTCCAGGGGCAGGATGCCATTCTCCTCACCTCCCAGGTAGCGGCTGAAGCCCTCCATGGACATCTGGTCTGGGGGCAGGGGCAGCGGGGTCAGCCAGGCTCCCACACACACACCCCTGCACCCCTGCTGCCCAGCTCACCTCGCTCCAGGAACTGCTGGTTGGGCTCATACTTCTCAATGAGCAGCCGGGCCTGCGAGGGCCGCAGCGGCGGGTACAGCACCTCGTTGAGTCTCGGGTCTCGCTGCTTCTGGTTGATGAAGTCCATGAGCTGCTCCAGAGTCAGGTACGGCTTCCCCTTGGCGCCGCTGGACCAGGCAGGAAGCCAGGTCAGGCCGAGGCTCCGAGGCTCCCCAAGGCCACTCCAGCCCTCGCCCCGGGAGACTCAAGCCATGCCAGAGGGCATCGGAAGGCCCGCACCTGCCTGGCTCCCGCATCCAGTGACCGGGGCTCAGGGCAAGTGGCTGCCTCCTCCAAGCCTCAGTTTCCCTCTCTGCTCTCCCATCACTTGGCCTTGGTAGCAGACAAGCCTCCACCCCGCTGCCTCCAGCCCCAGCCGCAGGCCCTCCCTCGCTGTGTGAGCTCGGGGAAGTCCCTCAACCCATCTGAGCCATTCCGTTCTCATCCGCGAAGCGGACAGTCATCACAAAGCAGTCCTGTAAGGAAGCTGCCGGAAGACTTCCCACCCGGCTCCCAGCCCCCCTTCCCCTGCCTGGGCTGGCAGGAACTCTCAGAGCAGAGGACAGGGTGTGGGGAGCCGCGAGGGGGCGCCCCCCAGCCCCGCCCACTCACATCTCCAGCAGGATCTTGTCGATGTCTGGCCGCAGACACAGCTTGTTCAGGAACCGCTCAAAGATGTCCAAGGAAAACTCGTCAGGCCGGATGGACTCGCTCTGGGAGCCACGAGTAAGAGGTGAGGACCCAGGGGCAGCTGGCCCAGAGACTGGGTGCCCACCAGGACACCCTCCCCCGTCCCCGTCCCCACCCCCACACACCCGGTTGAAATTGAGGCCGCAGGATTCCAGCGCAGTCTCCACCCGCTTCTTGTCTGCTGAGAACATCTTCAGGATGCTGGGGCAAATGGGAGGGATGGGGTCAGGAGGGCAAAGGTCGCCAAGGTCGTGGCAGGAAGGAGGGAGGGGCACACGGGGTGGGGGGAGCGCTCACTTCTTGACTGGGATCCGCCCGTCCTGGTTCACCTGCAGCTTTAGCTTCGTGTAGCTGCCAAGGCAAACGGCGGGGTCACAGGCTGGGTACGCCTACCCAAACCCCCCAGCACCCCCAGGGTGGCCCAGGGCTCACGCTTTGCGTAGAAAGGTGTTCCGGGAGGCATTCTGGGCCAGGATGTTCATAGCCAGTTTGAACAGCTCTTCGCACCAGACCTGGGGGGTCAGCACATGGGGGTGGTAAGTAGGGGACGGGGCTCCCGCACAGTGGTGCTCGTCTAGGGGCTTTTCCGAGAACGGTTAGAGACAGCCTAGCACACGATACATGCTCAGTAAGTGACGGCTAAGTCAGCAGCTGAGGCAGGGGTCTCCCCAGGCCCCCCATCAGCCCAGCCCACCTTAGCTGTGTCATCCTGCACGGCCATGAAATTCAAGAAGGTCGTGTTCACCGAGTCTGGCCCAGCCACCACCGTTATCAGCTTCTCCTCCAACCGGGCATCAGGGCCCCCGAAGCCTAGCACCTCCCGGATCTTGGGGTCCTGGGCAGGCGAGAGCCCAGGCTGAGAGGGGCGCTCCGGCCCCCTAGGTCTCGCACCCACCCTTAGTCCTGGGCCCCGTCACTCACCTTGGGCAGGCGGGCGTAGCGACCTGTCCGTGTGTCCCTGATGGAGCTAATGTCCAGTGTGTCCACCTCCTGGGAAACCAGATGCCAGGGTGGGACTGAGAGGCTACAGGAAGAGAGCCAGGAGCCCCCAAGCTCCCCACCCAGGCCAGGGAGTGGTCACCCCCTGGCCGGAGCCCCAGTCTCAGCCCCCACCCTTAGCACTTCCTGTCCAGGGAGCCGTGGGAGAGGTCAGCCGGCAGCTGGGCCCTAAGCCTGTGGGCAGGGAGTGCCGCCGCACAGGAGTCTGGGGCAGGGGCCATAGGCCTGAGTGAGCCGTGCCAACAAGTACCCTTACCATGTTGGGTCCTGTCCAGTACAAGAAGAAGCCATTGGGGTCCACACGCAAGGTCACCAGGTTCCGACTAGAGGCCTCCTGGGGATGGGCCGGGAGAGCAGTGAGGAGGGAATGAAGGTTGAGGGCCAGTCCTGAGCACAAGCTTCGGCCCAGACTTGATTCCTGACCCCTTGACCATCAACCCACAGTTTCTACCAATGAACTTAGAAAACGCCCCTTTAGTCCACACGTCTTCCACAGCTCCTACAGCCCAAGGCCTTCAGAGTGGTATCTGGGGACCCACCAGCCCCTCCCAGCCTCACCTCTCGCCCTGACTCTGTCGTGTCAACCACTGTCCACCCTCCCCACTCCCAGCCTCACCTGACTGCTCCCTTTGCTGGAATCACCCTTCCCTCCTTCTCTCCTCAGGAAATCTGATCCACCTCCCTGGGCTTGGTTTCCCCAGATGGCCCAGGACCCTCCTGAAGGCCAAGCCCCTGCTAGTGCCTTTAGAGCCCACTGGGGAGGCTTAGAGATGAAAGCCGAGCGGGCAGACCCAGACTTCCACAGCCCTGAGTCCCTCAGGGCGCCAATACGACCGGCCATCTCTCATACCCACCTCCAAGTCCAGCGCCCCCACCCTGCACCCCCCAGGACCCTCACAGCCTCATAACGCCCCCACCCCACAAGACCCCTACAGCTTGACAGCTCCCCCATCCCACCCTGCAACTCCCAGGACTCTCACAGCCTTACAACACCCCCATCCCACAGGACCCCTACAACTTCACAGCTCCTCCCACCCCATACTGCACCCCCCAAGACCCTCACAGCATCATAGCTCCCCCCCCCACCGCATCCACCCAGGGCCCTCACAGCCTCATGACGCCCCCACCCCACAGGACCCTTACAGCTTGACCACCACCCCCACTCCAGCCTGCACCCCCCAGGGCTCACATAACCTTATAATGCCCCCGCCCCACAGAACCTCTGCAGCTTGACAACTCCCCCCCCATCCCACTCTGCACCCCCAGGACCCTCATAGCTTCCTAACAGACCAAGTCTCCCCAGAAAGAGAGCTGACCCAGCCATCGCAACAGGCAGTGAACTCTGACCTCCTTCGAACAGCCCTGTGGCTGGCAGGGGGCAAGGAAGGGCCCGCTGGCCCCATTTTCTGAGGAAGGCCCAGTCGGTCCCTGGCTCACTCCCAGGGCCACCCAGTGCGACTGAGGGACAGCAGCCAGAAGGGTGTCATCAAGGGATCAGACTCAGCCAGGGCCCAAGTGGTCACAGGTGGAACTGTCCTGCCCGGGGTCCTCAGCGTGGGTGGCATCCAGAAACCTGCTCCCTGTCCGTGGGGTCACTCTCTCACCATCAGACAGCAGCTCACACTCCCAGGGCCCTGTGTGGCCATCAGACAGCAGCTCACACTCCCAGGGCCCTGTGTGGCAGGCAGTTCCAAGCACTTAATACGTATGAGCTCACTGGGTCCTGCCAGCACTAGAAGTGGGTGCCATCCCTATACCCGTTTTACAGATGAGGAAACCGAGGGCCGGGGAGGCTGACAAGCTTGCCCAAGACCAGGCAGGGGAACCGGGATCTACACGCTAGTAGTATGGCTTCACCCTGTGGCCTGGAAAGCAGGGAACCAGACAGACCTCTGCCAGGCTCCCCGCTCCAACCTCAGCCACAGCCCCACTGTGACGTCTCAGGTGAAGCCACTTTAGAACCTCAGTTTCCCCTCCTGGAGAATAGGATGCGCCAGCCCCGCCCACCTCAGGGCTTTATTACAATGGGCAGGAGGTTGATCTGGGGACAGAGGGGATGGGAGGCCCCGGAATTTCTGGGGTGCTTGGGCTGTCCCACCTCCTCGGAGTGCCAACACCCATCCCAGCCACTCTTGGTAGGATTCCCAACCCCGCCCTGAGGCTGAAGCCCCCAATAGTGTGGGGAGGGGTGAGTTCTGAGGGCACTGCCCTCAGAACCTCCCCTTAACCCCTTCCCTGGGGCCTAGCCTTCAAAGACAGCCCAGGGCCCCTGCTGTCCAGCTCCAAGCCCCGGTCAGCACCCCACCCCACCCCCAGGCCCTCTCCCTGCTCCCACTTCCTTATTTGGGTTTATAGCACTGGAAGGAAAAGGAGAAACTTTTCCCTTCAGGCTGGCCTTTGGGGGAGGGGTCTCCCCGCTGGCAGGGCACACAGGCACTGCAGGTGGCACACCTGCTGCCTCAGGCCACGCCCCTGGGCCCTCCCCCCCCAGTTCCCACGCCTCCAGCCCCACCCAGCCGGAAAGGAGCTCAGAGTCTTCCAGGCCGCCGGCCTGACTGGGAAGGAAGAGCAAGGAAGCAGAGACAGGCCGGGTGGAGGCCCTGGGGAAGGAGAAGCCCAGGGGTCAGGGGGGTGGGAGTGGGGGTGGGGGACCAAGGGTGAGAAGGCGGGGCATCTGAGAAGCACCGGGCAGGGCAGCTGCAAAGGGGGGTGGGGGCTAGGCTTTATTGGGGTTCAAAGTCCCCAAGCCAAGGAGTGAGGAGCAAAGTTCTCCATGGGTGGAGGAACTTGGGGGGCAATGCTCCAGGAGGTGCTCCCCCCAAGCAGGGCGCAGAGCTGAGATCCAGAGGAAGGGCATTGGGTCAGCCAGACTGGGGTGACAAAATGATGAATGGGGGCAGAAAGCTCAGGAGAGGAAACTGGGGAGCATAGGGTCCCAGCAGCACCCACCCAGAAAAGGGGTGCCCTGAGGCAGATTGGGTGCCAGGGTCCCAAGCCAGAGTAGGGTGTCCAGGGCTGGGCAGGGGTCTTCTAACCAGGCCAGGGTGGGGGAACCAGAATTAGCCTAGCAGGGAGGAGTGGAACAAGTGAAAGGGGAGGCCAGGACTTATTGGGGTTCAAAGTCTCCACACCTAAAGGTGGAGAGCCAAATTTTTCAGAACAGAGGGACTGGGGGGGGGGGTTGAGACACAAAGTCTTCATTACAGGGACGCCTCGGGACTCAAGTTTCCGGAACGCAGCCAGGCTGGGATGGGGGGGGAGCCGCGGCCAGGCCAGGCTGGGGTGCGGGTCCCTGGCGTCTGGGCGAACTTGCGCGGGGGACCCCCCCGAGCTTACCTCGTCCCATTTGATGAACTTACTCCCGCGCCGTAGGGTCTCCACCACGGTGGACGGCTCCAGCTGCAGCGCGTGGACTCCGGGCCTGGCGCCCGCCATGGCCGGCCTGGGGGCGGGTGGGGGGTGCCCAC